GCACACCGTGAGCGTGGCGTGTAGTCTTGACTTACATGACATGCACGTCATAATTTTCACGTTATAGCCTGTCACTTATGTTTGTCATGAAGTCATGTCATGCCATACCAGTTTAGCAAGTCATGTAAACGAAACTACCGCAAAAGCAGCAAGACCAAGACATGTAAATTATGGCATTCATTACACACACGTCATGATTTTCGTGTTAGGACTAGTCACCTATGCTATTCATACATTCATGTTACGTGTTATCCAATTTTGTGTAGATGCCATGATCAAAAAAGCAGAGAGGTAAGTGTCGTAGACGGCTAGATAGATAGATAGATAGATAGATAGACAGATAGACAGATATATAGATAGATAGATAGATAGATAGATAGTTAGATGGATAGATAGATAGATGGATAGATAGATAGATAGATAGATAGATAGATAGATAGATAGATAGATAGATAGATAGATAGATATCCTAAAACTCACTGAAGTTCGCTAAGGAACGCTTCTCATTTAAAGCTTGCCGCACCATAGGAAGCAACCGCCGAGCACAACAAGTGCTCTGCGACTGAGACGACCACGCATGGCGACCACGCATAGGATTCCATTAGGGCTCCTCCATTTGCTCTTATGTTACGGAGTGGACATTATAGAGAAATGCCTTTTTGGGCGCTATATGCGTTCTTGGCATTGCCTGGGAAGAAGATATGGATCGCTTTCAGTGAAATGCGTGGTAATTTCGTTCGTTTTCTCACATAATTTGGTAGAGCTTGCTCGTGCAAATAAATAACCAATGGGCTTAGCACTCATTATTAAAAGCGAAGTATTTATTCACGGACCAAACCATTTTAAGCGCTTGTACCGGTATACTTACCTAACTGGCAGCATAGGCATTCGTGCTATAGATGCAGATTGATTAAATTGATGTACTATATTAATGAGTAGTAAATACATGAAAATCATGACATAGCTATGGTGTAGTCATGACATTTTTTCATGATTGTGGAGCTTTACCTGCCTTTCGGTTAACTTTACGTCGACCAAGATTTATAGGACATGATAGAAGCACATAATCAACATAAATAGCTGGTAATAACATGTGAACATGTAATGCATGTCATGCTCGTCATAACATACATGACTATCTTATGATGCGCTTGTGTCAATTTATATTAGCCTTTTAATAACTGAAATTGCTCATCTCATCGCTATCTTCGCGATTGAATGTATGAGCTTAGCGTGACGCGATTGTGTTATTGTTCATAACTTGACACAAATTCGTCAGCGAGGCGTTGCCGCGGTTACTCCGAAGCTATTAATTTGGGGCGAAGTCGAATTCGTTCAATCTTGATGTACCTGGTCATAAAACCAGCTAAGTAATCCCAATTACACTCACTGCTTCAGGATGAGCTTAATCGGGTTTACCCTCACTGTTTTATTGCGGCTATAGCCATTCGACGAAAATGCGAGACTATCTATATTTATTTGCAATATGCTTGTTCAGCATTACCATGTTTAAAATGAGGTGAATACGGGTAAATCAGGTTTGGGTTAACATTGGCAGTAGAAAGCAGAGGACCGGGTTAATTGTCTAAGTATTGCAGAGACTTTTGCCCTGCAGTGGGTGAACCTAAGCTAATGATGATGATGGTGATGATGCCTGTTGTGACTTCTTCGTCCTGTGTCCTCGTCAGACCTACGGGCTCTTCTTTTGTCTGTTGTAAGACTGGTCGATGCGAATCTCTTTATTTCTATGAACTTGCCCACGGAAACTGAAACATCAAGGTCTAGTGATTCAGGCTCTACACTCATAGGGAGCGGAACATTCCTTGGCTCGCGATTTTTCTTGCGTTGCAGCGTTTGTTACAGGATTAACCAAGCTATTCGCGTTTCACGCTGGTGCCTATGAGAAGTGTTTACGTCAAGCTAGGTCGCCTTACATTGTAAGATGTAACAGCATCCCAATATAGACGAGAGAAGCAAAGAAACACACAGTACAAGCACTTACTTACAAGTGAGTTTAAATGCAATATGAAGAAGAAAAGTCAGGAAACGGGTAACGTCAAACTGCAAGGTATTTTTCATAATACAATCAGGAGATTCTGTTTTTCGCCAAAAATAAAATTTTCGAGATTGTACCTATTAGCACATGAAAGATAGTGAATTAATTTTTGGTGTAGTGTGCAAAGCTATGAGGAGTATATTTGTCTCTGATGTGTCCAAAGTGGTGTAGGCCCGTGTGCTCCGATTTGGGTGCGTGTTAAAGAACCCCAAGTGTTCAAAATATGCGGAGCCCTCCATTACAAAACTCTCATATTTATATGGTGGTTAGGGGTCATTAAATCACGAATATCAATCAGTACGTCTCATGTATCTCCGTGCATTCTATCATGGGCAGCTTCAAGCCATCGTACCATGAAAAACAGCTTCATGTTCCACTTGACCTGCTTTCCCGTTTTTAGGGGTGAAGCTCTTTATAATGGCACTTGTTCGTCTCTCGTAGCGGTTGTAGAATGTAGCGAGTATAACATTCTGACCTCCAAGGTGGTGCCGGTGAGAAATTCCTATGTACGTTCTTGAACAATAAAAAATAGTGCTCAATATGCATGCCAATGGCTGCTAAGAGAGAATGAAAGACAGGAGCATTTGTCTTTTAGTTAACGCGCACGCTGCGATTTTCATTAGCAGCCAATGGCATGTATATTGAGCACTATCTGACAAGAAAGGGTTGCTGAATTATACTCGCTGGGCATAACCTTCTTGGTTTTAGAAAGGATTAGCGAGCGTTGGGCCGCAGTGTCATGAACACAGTGAAATAGTATATACCATGAACTTGAGGTGGTTAAAGGTGGGAAGTATACCCGAAGCGCAAGCCGTAAGAAAGTGTGCGTGTGCCACCTCTCGTTTAGTCTTTGGAATGTCTGCTGGATGGCAGTTCTTCTGTATAGGGAATATATGTTGCAAAGATGCGAGATGGTGGTACTTCTAGTGTTGAATAGGTGGACGAACGGACACACAGACAGATGCATGGATGGACGCATGAACGGACGCAGGGGCGGATGCATGAACGAATGCAGGGCAGACGCACGAACAGATGCACGCATGGACGGACGAATGGACGCATGGATGGTCAGACAGACAGACGCATGAACGGACGGAAGCAAGAACGAATGAACGTACGAATGCTTCGCCCCACTCTCCATCATTCACTCTGTGAATATGCTGCCAATTTTTTTGTTCAATATATTGCATCGAAGCAATAAACAGTGACTTGTTATAAGTGCTAGTCCTGCGCGTTTCTTCGTTCTTTTCGTCTATCTTGCGGTGTTTTTAGGTTGAAAAAATCTGGGAGGATTTTATTCATTCTTGTGCAGTTAGCGGGCGGCAGTGATTGTGCAGGCGGACTGATAGCTGGGCCATTTGGTAACAGTACTTCAACGTATCTTAACACAGCGCATCACTACGCGGACAAAATAACAGAAGGGGGCTGAAACCGGAGCTCTGTCTCGCAACTGAATATGTCGCAGAACAAACGGAAAAGAAACCCTTCAGTCTTCACACTCTTTTGACGACACTAAGGCAAGAAAACGGCAGATCAGCTGACATTATGATCAGTGAAAAAACAGGTACATGTAGTAACATTAGGTTGTCGCAAGACAGCCGTTCAATGCAAGAGAATGTATACTCACATGTGTCCCACCATAGCACGCAGTGCCATTGCACGCCTATCTTTCATGTAGTTTAAGTTCCATCAACATGTGGAGATCGAACCACAAAAGAAATTATTAAAGGGTGTATTAACAACAAAAGGAATGAACAATGCATTAGTGTGCTTTCTATAGCTCTACATGACAGTGAGGTTAGGTTCTTAGATAGCACGATACCTTGACTTCTTATGTTGTTGGAAAGTACAAGGGGGATGTGTCAAGGGCTTTTTTTTTCATTGTTGAAAATGTCCTCTGGTCTGCCATTTCTTCGTTTGTTAGTGTGGTCACATGGGTATGAAGGTTGAAGTGTTCCTTTTTTGTTCATGTTTTCCACTAAAAATTAAGTTGCGAGTCAGCTCTTTGATTTGTTCCCCTTCTTTTTCTTGTGTGCACGGTAATCTTGCGCTGTGTTAAATTATGTTCAAAGGCAACGGTAAGAGGTGTCAGCGACATTGATTGCAAAATGAGTGCAGTTCCAGCACTGCTGCGCGCCGAATGTGATACGTATCGTGGCCGGCAGCATGCTTAGTCCAATGTGTAGACAGGGTTCTCTTGTTTTCAATCACCACTACTTACACGGAGCTCTTGAATTCTCTACGTGTAGTCTTTTTTGTTTTACTTTTCTATCACCGGTTTGTAACTACAGATTCATCGAAAGTAGCTCCTCATAGGCATTCTCATTCCTCGTACACACACAGATTGTTTTGAACATTCTAGTTTCCTCACGTACATACGGCATCATTGTGTAAACCCGTACGTTATGGACATCCATATAACAAGCAATTATCAGCAAGATGACGTTTTTTTTCTGCAAGTGCGTCAAGGCAAACAGTTCTTTCTGTAATTAGTGAGATCTGAAGAACGACCTGAGTTGTCGGTGAGATTATAAACTACGTCAATAGATAACTACATGCTCGGAGAATCAATTTAAAACGAATTGCTCAAGAATATTCAGGAGTAAAAGCTTTCTTAATAAATAAAAATGTTCCCGTTCACGTATCGAAGCCTAGATTAATAACTTTCACAGCAGTTGCTCTGTTTTTCGTTTTTCAGCTCATTCATACATTTTCGCAGCATTCTGCAAGCAATGGGTCATGTAAATTCCTCATTCGTTGCGTGCGTGCACAGTATTCGTGCTTGAACTTTCCAAATGCCGGGGCTTCTGTAGCCAAGCCATTATCACACAAATGGAGAGCTATAAATATTTGAAAGCCAACGCAAAAAACACAATAAGCCGAACAATGCTAGACATACGCGTATTGATTTCGCATAAAAGACACAAATATAACGTGGCCGCGTTTTGCTCTCAACACGCTGTTCATCGGAATAAGCTTTACAGTGTGTGCTTACAAGCATCGCGAACAGTCAACGTAACTGGCATGCAAGCAGAGGCACTCACAATCATACTAGTCTTTATTTTAGGCGATATCATGATTTTCGCAGCTGGTGTGAATATCAAACAGGTAAGTTATATTTCAGTGCATTTGAATACCGCATAAATATTTGAAGCGTAAGAAACTACTAACGGTTTACAAGTACTTCCACACTTCTTCAATTTTTTCAATTCACCTGTCCATTATGGTTTTGGTTTGTTGATATTTTGATAGCTGGTATTGATAGGCTGACGTAAATGATAATAATACTTATTTAAGAAAACGTTTACCTAGCAGCCGCATCACACGGGTACTTGAGTAGTTCATTTTTTATTTTTTTCTTACTTAAACCGAACAAGGCAGAACAAAGGCATAAACGTTACAGGTAACTTCACAATCCTATTCTATTCCTTATTATGAATAATTAGTAACGCATGAAAATATTGAATAAGAAAATTGAGTTTTTTGTTTAATTACTAACAAAAGAACAACCTTGTCGGTCTAGTTCGCGTGCTTCACCCTGTGAAATAATTTTTCACATCACGGTCATGTGCTTTTGAAAGAATTTTAAAGACGAGAGAAAGTGATGAAAGAGAAGAGAAAGAGACAAAAAATCCTAGTAAATGGGCTGACGGGTATAGAACGATGACAACACACAAAAGGTAAAGGTGTTCGCATACGCCTGTAGAACTCAAAAAACATCAGAATTCGATCAATTAAGGTAGCAATATTTTCAGGCTACTCAGTAATCGCCCTTTTTGAGAAAACGGCCTAGCTCGTTTTCTCTCATTGTTTCATGAACTTTTCGAATGCAGTGGTGGCATGCTTGCCCTGCTGCTGCTACCACGTTAATAAACCATCGTTACGTTTTATGATGGAGTCCGTCAACGCTATCGCCGATTCAGAAGCCCTCACCACTCTCTGCCTTCAAGTGCAACAACAGAAACTGCAGACCCACAAGCAGCAACAATTTCACAACGCCTCTGTATACGAAGGCCTGCCTAGCGGCTCAACTGGAAACGTCCGTGCTCCGACAGAAGCTATCCCACACGCTGCTTCCTGACGTGTAGCTGTCAAGTTTCCGCCGTTTTCGTCGACTCGTTTGTGGTTTGATTTACCCAGGTTGAGGCCGATTTCTCTTTGGTGCGCTTCACGCAACACTGGATCCGCTAAAACGAGGTCGTCGCCTACTTGGACGCACGTTATGTCAACGAGGTCCGATATATTCGATCTATAACCGCAGTCCGCAGAGATCATTGAGCGCAAACATTTGCAGCTCCTGCGACACATGCATGCGCTCGCGGGCAACATGGCTCATGATTCTTTCATGCGATCATTTTAGCTAACCCCGCCGCACGCCCAGGTGATTCGGCAAGCCTTGGCCAGGTGACCTCCTGACGAACCTGTAGAGATTGCTGATTGCGTCGTTGAGGTCTTTTGCCGCAGTTGTCGCCCACCATCTAGGCTGTCACCTCACCACTGAACACCTCCGAGCTCGCGCGCCACGTCAGTGACATCGACCGAAGGCTCGCTTTCATTCAACTGCACCGTCTTCCGATGCATCAGCGCTGCCATTCGCAAAGCCGCCGCCATAACACCACCGCATCGCTACAACCTGACACCAACGGTTCATGCTACACAGATGCTTCACTGACAGAGAGAGCCTGGCAATATCGGTGGCCCTGTCACGTAGGAAACGCGGAAAGTGACAATGGCTCCAGCTCGTACAGACGGCCGCAAGCTGCCAACCTAGAGGCCACCGCATCTTGGTCACCAACGAAATCACGAAACATCGTCACCGAGTCGACTGCGGTTCTGACATTTGTTGTTACTCGCAATCCATTCTTCAAGGCCATCGCACGCGGACACCTTTCGAGCTCAGCGCAGTGCATCAGTCCACGATCAAGTCGTATGGCTCACTGCACCTGCACATCCAGCTGAAAAACCTACGCCGTGACCCTTGCCAAAGCTATGCCATCGCCGGCGTCGCCTAGCCATTCACCAATCAGACGTTCTGGCTCAATACAACCTTCTTGTGGAATGCTGCAATGACCAGCTTATCAAAGCAACAACGGGGCATTCATAAAGGTACTCAGTGTCAACTTCCAAGCATCAAGGTACTCAGCGTCAACAATCACTTACCGTACCATATCATTCTCGCCGAGTTTCCTGGCTGGACGCGTTCCGCTTGACTGCCACGCAATGTGCAGCACACTACCGTGCAGTACGTCAGGATTACTTCAAGACCAGCGGCTTTCTGTCACCCCCGTCATCTTGTTCCTAACCGCATGCTCATAGCGGAGGCAGAGTTCGAAGCAATACTCCGACAAGACAGCGCCTGTCGCTCCTACAGCACATGGGCCTCACTATTTCATCTTGTCCCGAAGATTATTGGGTGGCGATCATGTGGGGACTATCACGCCATCAACGCACCCAACATGCTGGACAGGTACCCCATTCACCACATACAGGATTTGAGCGATCGCAATCACGGCTACCCGTCAACCCTGACGACGTCTCAAAAATTTGAAAAATAGTTTCATTTGGCTTGTTAGAGTTTTCCTTAATGAGCTTTGGTCTAAATAACACAGGGCAAGCCTTTCAGCGCTTCAACGACAAGGTAGGTTGCGGCCTAGAATTCTGCTTCGTCTATTTTGCCAATATATTGGTCTTTTCACGTGACGCCGAAAAACACCAAGGTCACCTTCGTCTTTGCTACAGCTTGACGGCCGCAGCCTGCTCTTTAGCGTCCAGAAGGTCATGCTTCATGCTTACACCGTTCGTTTCCTCGGCCACGAAGATTCATTAGACGTGACTCGACCCCTGCCTGAACGCATCACTCATTTGCAGAAGTAGGCTAAACCCACTACCACTACAGATCTTCGCCGTTTCCTTGGCATGTTCAACTTCTATTGGCTTTTTTTATCGCAGGCCACCGACAACCAGTAGCCTCTTCACGATGTCTTGGCTGGTCCTCAAGGAAACCAACCCGTTACGTGGGCACCAAGTTTGGTGACAATTTTGAGGAATGAAAGGCTTCTGTCTGCACCTCTACGCCCCCCTTCCATTCCGTTCCTTACGCTTCCTTTGGACTCTTCACAGGCACATCTAGTTTCGCCGTTGTTACCACCGTGGTTCAACGCGTGGACAACACCTGGTACCCTTTGGCATTCTTCTCCTAGAAACACTCAGCTCGGAAAGGGACCCCTTCAGTGGCCAGTTCCACCGACGAAAGCACGACCACGGCCGAAACGAGTTCGCCAGCTTACTACAAAAAACTTCTGGCGATATACGAAGCAGTGCTACACTTTAGCCGCGTTCTCGAAGTGCAGCACTGCAGCATCTATACCGAACTTATCCTAACATACGCTTAATCTCAGCGTCACATAAAACTCGCGCTGCTTGCTCGCCACAATGACTAAGGTACTCGACTGCTGACCTACAGGTGGCGGGATTCAATTCCCACTGCAGCAGCTACATTTTTTATGGATGCGAAAATGCTGAAGGCCAGTTTGCCCAGAGTTGCGTTAAAAAAACCAAGTGGTCAACATTTCGAGAGCCCTCCACTACGGCATCTCTCATAATCATATGGTGATTTTGGGACGTTAAACTTACATGTCAACTCCGGCCTGTTCAGCAGAACCAACTTTCGGCTATGCAGGAGCGGATGCAGGAGCGCTCCCTAAAACGGCACCATGTGGCCAGTTTGCAGCTCAAGTAAAGTATCAGGCATGTCAGCTCGCTTCAGTGGATGACAAGAAGAAGCGCACTGCCCTGCCACCCAGGGCTGTGTGGTAGACACAGAAGCCGCGCCGCCGATGAACGAAGCAGTCACAAGGATACCAGGCAGCACATCTAAAGCATCGTTAATTAATGCCCGAAACTTGACGCATCCCAGTCGCTGCCTGCCGATATGCTCTCTTCTATACGCCTGGTAAAACATATCAGGAAGCTCTCCCCAACACGATGTCATGTGGCCGGTATTCAGCTCAAGCAAAGTATGAGACGTGTCAGCTCGCATCAGTGGGTGGCAAGGACGGGCTCAAAAGTTTTAGTTGTTTGAAACAAAATTTCAAACAAACTTTTGAATTTTAACACAAAATAGGTTACACAAAATTTTTATTTATTTTCTTCGTTATTGTTTTGATACAATTGAAAGGTCAGACATGAAACCGCAAAAATGCACTATAATATGACAGTGCCCTCCGTATAAGTACAGTATGTGCTTAAAAGCTAGTTTCATTTTCCCGCACACATTGACGCCTGAGCATGATATGAATATTTCCTATTCTCCCGCAATATGTTGTGACAACTTCATGGCGCCTCCTCACAAATACTTTTTGTAGACGCACAAGCAGTGATTTTGGGGGCTTCATAACTTGGTATAACATGACTTGCCAAAATGCTCTGTGAAGACACCAGAATTAGCATCGTATCCGTGTGAATATAAGCATGACGTCATGCCGATGTCAGGCTATAGTACTGATTCTGCTACCTTCGCATTCAATACAACATAAGAATATCATTGAGAAATTCAGAAATAAAAAAAACTTATGGCTTGCGCGCAACGGAGAGCACAGTCACAAAGAGTGTTGGTAGAGTGACCTTTCTAGACCATTAGGACACGAAGTGTTCCTGCTGTAGCCCACCATGGCTGCGCTAACGTTTTTCTCTCAAGGATATGACGTTTTAAGATGTATAAAAATATTTCGAAGAGATAAAAAGATCAAACAAACGTGCAACGCAACGTCACTTGACCACAGCACTAATGTTGTTTTGCTTGTTAGGCACAAGCTATTCATATACCATACTGCTACCCACACGTAGTGGGTCGAAGGCAAGAGTGACTTTCACCTTAAAGAACCATCGTGTTTCTTGTCTACTCAAGTGTGAGCCGCTAAGGACACGTTGTTCAGAAGCCAGCCACTCGATTGCCTAATAATATCCCCAGTACTTCTGAAACCTCTTGACAAACTGGTGGATTTGCGGGGTAGCATCACAGAGGTTGCAGACCCCCTTAGAGAGCTGCGCTACGAGTTCAGTACCAGATATTGACCCCGTGCATCGGGCCAGCCGCCGATTAGGCGATT